TATTGAGTTTTTTTTATTTATTACAAAAAATTAAAACGGTATATGCAATAAAGTACTGAAATTGAACTCAGTTCCCTTAATTAAAAACAAAAAATTAATTTTGCTGTTTTTTATACGGACTTATTGGTCGTATAAAAAAACCCGTATAGCCCAATAAGTCCAATAAGCCCGTACAAAAAATAACAAAATTGTTTTTAAAAAAAATTTTTTTTTGGTCATTAAAACAATAAATTAGTAAAAAATTAAACTAAAATCAATAAAAAAAATTATAAATATGAAAATACATAAAAGAAAGAGTAATATATTCATTATAAATTAAATATATTTAAGTAATTTTTTTTTATTGGAGTTATTAATATTTTATTTCATTTATTGATTTTATTTTGTAATGTTTTGTTAGTTATTTGTTTTAAAAGTATTAAATAAATTAGAATTATTTATTAAAAAAAACTGAAATCAATTTTTAAGAGTCTTCATTTGATCAAAAGTTAAAAGTCTTTGTATATTGTATATAACAATATGTATGATTTTAATATTGTATATAAAAATCATACATGGATATTACGGTATTTCATTTTTAATATTAATTAAATTGATGAAATATAAAAACATTACTTATGAAAGTAATATTAATTATATTACACTAAATATTATATTCATATTTAATATATAAAAGGTATTACATATTTAATATTAATTATAATAAGTAGGTATATTCTGTGTAATTTTTTATATAATAATATATATAAAAACATAAAAAAAAAATCTCTCTAAGTTGACCTCTTGACCTCATAAATTTTTTAAAGTTTTTAATGTATTAGCTAAAGATCAAATGTTAACACAATTATTTATTGAATTATTTTTATTATTACTAAAAAATAATTACTTGAAAAACACATATAATCCGTAGCTGAAATTTTTATAGTTTAATCGGCTCTTAATTAGTTGCATCTTAAACTTTCCTAGCTAATGTTAGGAATTTTATAATATATTTTAAATAAAATAAAAAATTAATTTTGCAGAATGTAATAATTGTAATTAAATATAATAATGAAACTACTTTAATTGGAAATATTTTAGTATATTTAATGATGGTTAAGGAATATATTATAAACACTTTTTGAGTATTTAAATATTATGGAAAAAATCTGATAATTCTTGTTAATAATTTTAATATTTTCTACTGTAATGGAATTTTTATAACATTAAAAAATTTCATATTTATGCCAAACGCGTTAGCTAATCGTCACTTAAAAATCAAAAAAGCATAATTATTTTCAAAATAAATATTGGATAATATTATTTATATATAGTTAGAAAAAAAAAGTAAAATAATAAAAAAAAAAAAATAAAAAACTGTTGCTTTATTTGGTCTAATAACTTTATTAATTTTTTATTTAAAATTCTATTGGTTTTGTATAATTTTAGTGGTTCACTGCCGTTTATATAAACAATTTTTATTAAGGGTGGCTTCGTACAATAATGTTCTTAATTCTTTTAATAATTTTTTTTAGTATTTAATTTCATATAAATATATTTTTAACAAATTTTAAAAATTGTAATTTATTTGGTGATGGTGGGTGTTAATTAATATAATTTGTTTATTATTCACTTTATTATTCTAAGTCTAATAGCGTTTAGCCAAGCTTAAAAGGAAACTTGTCGCTAAATGTGGTTGTGAATTTATTAATTTTTTTATAAGCCATATCAATTTCTTTTATTGTTATATATATATATATTTGCATATATATATATATACTATATATATATATATATATATTATATATATATATTTATATATATATATATAATACATAAATATATATATATATATATATATATATATATGCATATATATGTATATAATTAATTTCTCTTAATGCCAATTAAATTAAATTTGGCAAATTAAATAAATTTTAGAACAATTTGTTTTGAAATAAAACAAACACAGTTTTATTGTTAATATATATATATATATATATTATTAGTTTTATATTTATAAATAACTTTCAAAAGAAATATATAAGTAAATACAATTTAAACTTTAAGAAATGCATAAATTATAGGGCGTGGCTAGTGTAGTGTGTAGACATTATTCACTTTATAAATTTATTTTAAAGATGTAATTAATGAAAAACTATTATACATAGAATTCATTTATTTATAATTATTTATTTAATTTAATTTAATTTAATTTGATTTAATTTAATTAATATTTTTAAAATTTAAATTAATATCAAATTCATTATTCTCCTAATTAATTTGCTAGTAATATTATATATATATATATATATATATATATATATACATATACATATATATATATTAATAAATAAATAAATAGCATTTTTTATTAAATTAATTACATATATTTTGTTGTTGTTGCTATTTTTGCAGTATATATATAACACAATGTCTGTTGTTTTATTTATTTACTTGATATAAAACATATATCATTTATGCTTTACATGTAATATGTAAATGTACTGAATTATATATGAGTATATTCATATATTTAAATATATGCACACATTTATATATATACTTATAAAGTTATATAAGTATATATATTTGAATACATACATATATTTATATATACAATCATATATACTCATATACTCATATAGATACTCATATATTATATACATATGCTGTATATCTATATATAAGTATACATATATACTTATGTACACATATTTATATAATATACAGCACTTTTTATTACTGCTTGTATTTCATTTTATTTATATATGTTTAACAACTGTTAGTAATAAGTGAAGAGCTTTAATTTATAAATTTTTTTATTGCATTCTTTAATTGTATATTTAGTTTTTTTATTGGCTTATATATTAAATTTTTTGTTTTGCATTTGGTTTTTATTATATTTGCCTAATCAATGACTTTTAAATATTTTTAAAAATCTACAATTTTGTTGTTTTATTTTTAATTAATGTATTTAACTTAACATTTTATCATGCTTAAATTTACAACAAATTTAAACGAAAAAAAAACTTGTTATATGTATTAATTTTCATTGTTATTTTTTTCAATTTTTTTAAATATTTTATTTTTTAATTAATATTATTTTTTTGGTTTGTTAATTTAAAACAGCATTTATTTTTAATTTTATACTTTATTTGAATTTAGTATTTGGAGCAAAGGTCGCAGGAAGTTCTACACTGCACCAAATTTTATAGATTTATCCATTTTTATTTATTCTAAATGGTTTACTAATTTTTTCTTATAATTATATAGAAATTATTTAATATTAAGTACTAAGCTTGTTTGTTCTCTCTTCTTGATTTAAATATATATTTTATATATTTTCTTTATTTTCGCTGCTCCGAATTTCGTTAAATAAATTATTAATTTGCTTGAAAATTAATTTGTTAATTACAAAAAATTAAACAAATAAAGTGTTATATAAAATTATTATTATTAATCAACAAATAGAAATAGAAATAGAAATATATAATATAAATATTTAAAACAATTAGGTTTATAATTAAAATATTTTTGAATATATACCGCGTTAGTGATATTATTCGATCTGTTTGAAGCTTCGAGTATTTTAATGTTCGAATATGCAAGCTGTGTATTCGAGTATTGTACTTAGCACATTTGGGTCGATCCCCATCAGTATGTTCGATGGGGAGTATGTCATGCTCGAGCATTTACTGTTATACGCATTAATAGTTAATAAAACTGAATCATAGTAAAATTTAACAGATTTGCAGATTTGCTGTTCGAATAACTTGAAAGTCTTTGAGCTTCTTAAGTATTTCCGAATATTTAAAATGTATGACACAAATATTCGAACTTAAGTATACTTAAACTTCTGGACAGTCGGATGCTCGATCATTTTGAAGCGATACTTGAAAGTATTTACTTATTAGTATAAGTAACTGAGTGGAAATTTCTTTAATAATCAATGTTGATTATAAATTATGAATCCTTTTAGCTTTAATACTTTCAACTTTATTGCCTGCAATACGGTGGTATTATACCAAGTTTAATAGACAGACTGACATTTTTGGTATTCGCATGACGTCATTCTAATAAGTGCATTTTATGTGTTTTCGTTATGAGTTACACTTGAACTATCTTTAATACAAAATGTGTTAAAATACATTAAATACTTATTAAAATTAAATACTTATGTATGTCTCTATAATTTTTTCAGAGTAAAGTACATTGGCTTAATTTGGTTTATTTAAATACTCCTTGAGTATATGAGGAACAACAAAATTTGGTTGAGAATTATTTTATAAAAAACAAAAGTGTTTATAAATAAAAAATTTAGGTATTGTTATGAATGTTGTAATTTATATATATTTCTTATTTAGATTACAAATTATAGATACATCAAAATTTAATAAAAATATATATTAAACAAGGAATTAAAACATTATGGGATTATTATGTATTATTAAAATTATTATAAAATACAAACCAAAAAAAAATCGCCATTATTATTTATATATTCTACTGCAGTGTTTTTTATTTTCATTACATTTTTAGTACTTAAGTACTTAACGCTTTAACAATTTATTTAATATTCCATTTCACATTACAAATTTAAATAACATAATGTTTTTTTTATTTAAAACAAATTTTATGCTTGACACTTTGCTATATGCAAAATAAATGAGTTTTTGCTATTTAAATATTTTATTATTGCTGAAAATATTTGAAATAAGAAAATTTTAATTTTATATTAAAATGCTAATTTTTATATAAATTTTTTATGTTCTGCTACTGCTGCTTTTTATATTTTTATATATATAGTTTTTTTTTCTTAAATTTCATTGTTTTTTATTTATTCCTAACTGCTTCCTCTTCTCCACTTTTAAATAATTTTTTTTAATCTACCATATATCATTTAATTTTATTATTAACTTTTTATTATTTGCTGTTTATTTATGCTTTGTGAATTTGTTTTTGTTGCTGTTGCTGAGAATCCTTTTAAGATTTTTTGTTTCTAATATCTGCTTTGTTTCTTACTGTTTTGCATTAACTGTTGTTGTATTTGTGTTCTGATAATCCATATCTGATGATATTTCTTAATCAACCATCAATTCAAAGTGGACGGATCCTCTCCTTTCGGAACGATCGTGGTGAATGTTACGTGCCCAGGCTTTGCATTCAATATTGATTAAGACGCCGGCTGCAATAAATAGAGAATAAATTATAATATTTGTAATATTTTATATCTAATACTCGTATATATAAAAAATCAAAATAATGTATATGTTAATTAAAATTCAAAATATTTACGGTTAAAAATAATAAAGGTGAGTGTTACTATTAGGAACCACATCCAAATTTGTCGAATTCGGATATACCTATTTCTTGCAAAAGAGCACAACCAGCCGTTCTCTAAAAATTTGCATTAATCGTGTCACACACAAGTGGACATGCAAATAGGAATATCTACCGGTTCTGTCTCTACACACTGTTAAATATTTAAATTTGTATCATCTCACATTAAAGAATTCAACAAATACTCCAATGCCAAAGTTATTTCTGATGCCGATTACTGCCGAAAACTTTCAGCCTATAACAGTAAACTGATATAACAGAACACATCTTTATGATTATTATAATAAGCCAGATCACACCGCGATCTTATTAGATCTATTCTGCATAGCCTAGGTTCTAATCCATTTATATCGAACCATTACATATATGGTAAAGCCTTTACCTGAGCTTTTGGTAACATTTTTTCACTCTTGTACATCTCCCACTCCTATTCTTATAAGCTTTTTTTGCTCCATGCTGAAGATGTAGCAACATTTTTGAGTTTCATTGTGGGTTGAATTCAATTCTTTCGGGAATGTCATAATTAATTATTATGCTTATTACTACCATTTCAAAAACATTATTTTTGTTTGTAGATATATCGTATATGACAGCAATAGTATGTATCGAGGGCAAGCTAAGAATGTAGTGGACGTGAAACGATAATCATATGGTAATCATCTTGTTATCTTAAAAAAAATTTCTTATTAAAAAACATGACCAAAAACATTTTTTTTAAAAAAAGTGTTTCCAGTGAGATAGCTGTTCCTCGTCAGTTGATAGTAATCTACCTTGTTCGTCAGCTAATGGTGGGATAATGGTGTCTTGAACTAGATAGCTTGCATAATGTTGAGTACATCACAAAAATATATAAATATATTAGCATACCACAGTCAATGTAAAAAGCATGAATTTGGCAGTTACTTGGGTGTAATTTTGTAATTATTATTTGATTCTCATCATTTTTTTGTTTGTTATCAATATCCTGAAATGACAAGCCTTTTGATATCCTGAAATGCCAGTTTTAACAAAAAAATACCAACAAAAAGTGAAAAATGTAAAAAATTTTATCAGTTTTCATACAAATTGTATGTGGATCTGGTCAGACTCATGAGTCCCGTATGTAAGTGTAAAAACATGCGCCCAACGGAGTGTTAAGCAAGCATTTCTCATGCAATTATAAATGCACCACATGACGTTTCACACATCCAATTTCTCCATAGTCAACTATTATTCTTCATACCAGAAGGAGTTATAAAGATAATATTAAAACGGATTTGAAGAAGGGATGAAGCAAAAAAAGATTAACAATTATATTCTTAACTTGATGATATAGAAGTATCTATTGTTTCCTAATTTTTAAAGACAGTTCTTAGGTCTAATTTATCTTATAATCGACTTTAAAGTTGAACTAAAATTATTACTTCAGATCGCATTAAAGTTTCCTATTACATTAGAGAGAAAACTTCAAAGTTTTCAAGCTCAAACTATTGCAAGTTTCCTAGTTTTAATGCTCTTAACGTATTGCAGTATTTCGAATATTAATAACTCCAACAACGAAGTGACTGTTGGCCCAACCGTCAGGTTGACTTGAAGTATAAACGAGTGTTCTGATGAGAAAAGTAGTTCATTGACGATGGCGTGTATAATGAAAAACTTGATTTAATATCAAGTTAAGCTGCACTATTCCGTCACATTATAAAACTTTAAGGAACCGCTATAAGCTGCTTTGAAAATTGTTCAAAACTGTTGCTAAATAACGCCAATGGCCGTAACAAATGCATTCAACAAGGTATTCAAGAAATTTACTGCCAACAATGGAAACTAACAGTTCCAATGTCTAAACTTTGATTAATAATAGTAGAGCTTTAAGGAAGAAATGGACAAAACATATAAATAAATACAATTAAAAATAAATACATATATACATGTGGATGCTAAATATACAATATGTGTATACAAAATCGTTGGTAACTTAAAGAGCAAAATGGATTAAGCATAATTAACTGAGGATTAATATAATAATAGAATTATCACCACACGATTTGACGTAACTGCGAATACTATGAATGATATATATTTGTCCAGTGCAATCCAGTAATTTTTTGACGTTATAAAAAGAGAGTTTAACAGTAGACAGAAAGAAAGTAAGGTCTTTTTATAGGCAATTACGTACTTCGGTAAGGTGGATGCTTAACTGATGTACTGTCAAAGTTACACGATATTCGGGCGAATAAAAGCAAGATTATATCGTCTGACATTAAAAACATGTTCCGTATCAGACTTTTTAAAAATTGAAATGAATTGAAGTAATACAACTCCAATATGTACAAGGGTTTAAATACGTTGAACTTCTGACAAGTATTTAGAAGTTTGGAATACTACTTTCAAGAACACACAAATATGAGAATAAAAAAGATGATTCTTTCCTAGTCTTGATTTGGCAGTACTATTTTAGTGACACATAACATATGTAACTACTATCCAAAATAGTATGTGTTTAATTTAATATTAGATATCTTACAAAATGGATCGTTTAACAAGCACTTGACGTATAGAAAGAGTGACTTTGAAGTAAACATTTTGTCAGAAGATCATTTTAGTGTTGGCCACCTAAATCATTGGATTTGTTGTCAGTAGGCTATAGGACGTTTTATTTTGTGAAGTCACGCAAATGATCGCGCTTATGTATACAAACCCAAAACCTCACGATGTTTGAAAACAAGCATCGGTCAAATCATGGTCAAGTTATTGCCAGCTAACATATGTGCGGATGAGTCATTAAAGTGCATTCATACGGATTCAGTATTATAAGATGTCCTGAAAAGATATTTGAATTATGTCATCCCTAAGGACATCTCTACATTTAATATATTAAATTATACAATTTCTTGCAATTTCAATTATTAACATATTGTTTTGCAACCACAAGTTATATGATATCTATAAAACATTTATAAGACTAGTCGTCACTGACTCTAATATAGTGCTTGATATATTTTGAAGCTAACATATATGGTAGTATGTAACGAACTTAAAAAAAAATTCTTGTTAAAATATTTGACCTGTGAGTGTTGTATAATTGAAATACGCAACCCAATTCGCAATGACGTCATACTTCTGAATCAGTTTAAGTTACTTTAACTGAAATAGATTGGGCATATTATTTTATTTATAGAAGTAAATGTGAGAGACAGATATACTTGGTATATATATATATATATAAACATATAATTCTGCTAGGATCAACACGTAGAGAGATTTGTTAATAATAATGACGAAAAATTTATTTATATTAAATATGTATTGATTTTTTAAACTCAATGTTTTAAATTTTTTTGGAAAACACTTTTTTTTTAGTATCATAAATTAAATAATTCAATTCAATTATTAAAAATTTGTTAAAAGATGTCCTTATAGGGTTAATAGATTTCAATAGGCCATTAGGATATAGAGCTCTTTCTCGTCGTTTATGCTATCATCTGATGGTGCAGAAAAATGAATGCTACCAAAGTATGATGAAGTAGAATAGTTTTTCTTAGAATATTTAATACTCTACAAGTTGGTGGCGACAAAAACTTCTGAATGAAAATTGAAATTGTTGGTGAATTTACTTCCACCGGTTTAGCCGACTTAGTCATATCGTGAGAACGAAATACAAGGTTTCAACGAAAAAGGCGTTTAAAGCGTTAGTGGGAAGTGAAAGATATAGTAGAAGAGAAGGCCGTGTCTCTGGTAGAGTGTTTGGTTCAGAATGTACCAACTGTGCTTAATGTACGAAATTGGAGAATAAGCACACTGACATTAACGGCTGAAGAAGTGTGCTGTATCAGACCTAAACCCGACATCAGTTTGTTAGGGATAGTTTTAAGTTAGTTGTCTCTAAAGCATCGTAATACAATAAGTATGAAAAATTTAAAAAAGTTCCATTTAAATACCAGCGATTGAACTTAATTTAAAAGTAAATAACTTCATTGATGGCCTTTAATTTTGTTAGAGAGACATTACTATCAATACCCAATTACATATTAATTGTTAATGCATTTATAAATGAATCAAAAATAATTAAAAAAATATATATTTTTATATTAATAATATAAAATATTACTAACACTCTTTACTTTTGTATTTGAAATTTTCATTGACTTTGTGTTACATTGAAGTTCATGGCTTGTTACTAATTGTGGACATTTTTGGAAAGGTCAAAATTTCTGCTAAGAATACCTAAAATAATGCAGGGGAGATATTTCGCATGGAGAGAAAGTATAATATTTTACTGCATAAATTACAATTCTTTTCTTACACAATTTTAGCAAATTGCCAATAAATGAATATAAAAATTTATTTTTTAAATTTACCAAGAAGGATTTAAGCTCTTGACCTTTAAATAAAATACAGAAAAATCATTATTATCAAACTGAAAAGGTTAATCAATAAATTTTAAAAATATATTTGTCAAGATTTTTATATCATCAAAGTTTAGCTGTTAACATGGTTTAGACAGCGAACGTTGAAAATTATTTTAGACTATAAACTACTTAGAGCAATGGATTTTATTGAAGTGGACATTGTACTAAAACATTGGCGAAGTAAAGCGAGGACTAGATAAAAATTGTAAACAAAGTCATTTGGTTTATTAGGTGTTGAGTCAAAAGATAATGATAATTAATTTAACACTGCACTTTAAAGAAACATTTTTTTGCTGTCGTTTTTTGAATTCAGAAATTAAATTAATTATATTAAAGCAATTGTTTAATTTGCAATTTTATTTTAGTATTCATAATTCAAATAGAAAAACAAAAATTTAAACTTAAAATGTATAATAAAAGAAATTAATTAAATAAACTAAAATTTTTCTGGTTGTCGTTTCATTTCTATTCGAACCATACTGACTTTTAAATAATTTCTTTTCGTCATAAGACGCGTCACTTTCGACAAAAAAATTAACAATAAAAAAAAATAGTTTTTTGAATCATTTAGAATATATTGTTACTATATCATATATTAAACACATATTGTCGCATTTACTATATGCAAAACTACTATATCACATTCATAAATATATAAATTTAAAAAATTATATACTTACTTTCTACGGTAAATTGTACAGCAACAATTGGTGGTACATATCCTTCAATATTTTTGAATGGGAAGTAGAAATGTGGGAAACCCATGCGTGGATAATAATCACGTGACTTAATATTTTCAATATCAGCTGGATTTTCACCTTCACAAGAAACCCAGACAACACCAGTCTAAAAAGAAAACAAAATTGCATATTTATGATATTTTATTGTATCTTATGTGATTTAAGCAAAGCACGTCTCGAACAACAAATGGGAAGGAAAAAAATAATTAAAAACTATTGTACAAGGAGCAATATTAACGAGAAATACAATATCATAACTGCATTCTCCACAAAAATTAAAATTATGTTTGCTACTAGACAAAAGTTTATTGTGTAATTTCTTTATGATTGTCGATAAGCATTGTCTAACATGGCATCTACTTTAGTTCTGCTTGATAAAGCATTCTAATCATCATAAAACCGGTTTAATGCAGGATGTTGTGTGGTTAATTTATATGAAAAACTCACCTCATTTGGTCGCAAGCTTTGCTTTTCCTTGATGTGTTGCTTTAGGTCAGTAGGCATTTCTGCTGGCAAACCTTTAGAATCATTATAAATTTCTGGAACCCAGTTATAGATCTGTAAAGTAAGACAATAAATATTTAATAATACTATTTATTAGTTATTTTATATTAAAATATATAATTTACCTTATTTAATTTTAAGAAAATGCATGGTCTAGCAACATGGTAGCCGAAATTCTGTTCCTCGGTACATGGTGCAAAGGAATGTGTTTCAATACCGCAGACTTTGCCCTCTGGTGGCAAGTTTTCGAATGAACAGTTCACATGATTCTTTTTGGGTAAATCATCGTAAGCTACGAAAAGGTAATGTGATAGATTAGTAAATAATTATATAAATTATAATTATTTAAAAAAAAATAAAATATTTGCGATAATTACTTTATTATTGCTTAAAAATACTACTACTGGATTGATTCTAATATTATATTAAAAATATATTAATAAACTATTAACAATAATCGGGTAATAAAATATTACAAAAGCTGGTAGCTTAATCAATTAAATTATTATTATAAATAATATTTAGCAATAATTCGTTTCAAGCAGTCGTTTCTTTCATCTATTTGAACTAAAGGTATTAATTCTTATTTTAATGAAAAGCTTAGGTACTTTCGAAACTCTCCCAGGAAATTCCCCTTTGCTTAATATCAAAGGGGACATGACACAGACTGCTTGTTTTGCGATCAGAAAACATTAACCATTAATATTCCGTGAATAATCGTAGATGTTCAAATAAATGAAGAAAAATTTGATTATGTCTTATAAATATGTTAGTAAAATATAGCATAATATATGTTTTATATTATATATATACTCTTAGTGGATTAGTGGTGAATTAAGAATTATGTATAGTTGGTTTTGTTTTTATGTATAATTGTATTTTCAATGAGATTAATTTATTTTATTATTTTTAAATAAATAAAATACAACTGCCTTCAAATAGACTATTTCTACACGATATGAACTATTTCTAGATTGTATCAATTATATGAGAGTTGATATATGAGAATTGACAATAATAGTTTTCCTTACATTTTTTTCTTTGGCCTGGTAAAACAATATTCATTTGATTAAATTGGGTTAATAAATAAAAAATATATGCCGATCTTTTTGATACAGTAAACAATCTACAGGTTTTGACTTTGACTGCTACCTACGGAATTATAACAAAAACGAAGATGATGGTACAAGGTCTTCGATCCCTGAGGAATGAAACTCTAAACTAAAATAACTTAAAAGAATCTAGTCAAGTAAAATAGAATACGATAAGACATAAATTTGATCTCCATGGTGATGATCTCTCACTATAATTTATCTTATCATAGACATATAGTGTATATCTCAATAAAGTTAAGTGAGTACGAAAAAAATATTTATAATATAATATACCATACATATGAATAATATAATATATATGATAATATAATATAATTCATATTATTAGTACAATTTTTGCATTACTTTAGTTAATATAACCAGTTTTTTTACTTATTTAAATTTTAAGATACGAAACTTCATTACAAAATAATTAAATGCAAATAATGAAATATCGAAACAATGAAATATTTAGTTTATTAAGTATATGAAGGCTTTTAAATGATAACAGCAAATAAAAAAAATTAAAAAATTTATAATGATTTAAGATGTAATAAAAAATGTTTAATAAATTTCAATTTTAAAAAAATTAAAGAGCTGAAGTTTTAGCTGTACTTTGTCTATTGTCTAAAATAATAGACTTAATTTTACCAAAAAACTTACTTTGCACGGCTAGAAATTGTGAAAAAATTATAGAAAAAATTGTCAAAACATATTTTAAAAAAAATTAAAAAACTTTTAGACATCATATTTTTCAAAATACAAATATGAATAATTAAATATCAAATATATAAAAGATAAAACATTATAATTTGGTATATTCTTATATAGACATCAAATGAACACACACTTCGTTATATTAAAAAAAAAGTACAAAATACAAATATTTAAAAATCAATATCATTTAATCAATATATAGGTTAGGTAGGAGTAACGGCCTTGCATACCAAATTCCACTTGAGCACAAATAATGGTTCGCTGTGATAGTACGAAAATCAATATATGGGTACACATATTAATTCGAAATAAGTGTAAATTCACTCTACTGTCAGTTTTAGTGAAGTATGGAAATACAATGATATATGATGTTTCATAACATACATTAGAGATGATTTTATTGCAAAATTATATATTGAAAATAAATACAAAAAAAAGTAAGATAAACATAATTTTCTAATTATCTCTATATATATAAAAATATATGAGGAGGTTTTTGGAACCGTAGTGAACTACAACAACAAAAATTTATTTTATATTATTTTAATTTTTGTCTGACAATATAGCTGTTTCGAGATTTTCAAATATCCATCATTTGTGGTCTTGGAAATAATTCGTGTATTTAATTATTCGTAAATAATTTGTTTTGAAACTGCAAGTACCAGGAATCGAACTCGTGTCCTGCCAAATGTGAAGCTCAGAATCAGCGCACCTTAACCAACTGATCCAAAGCCGTACTTTACTTTTTATGTTTGCACTTTTTTCTTTTATATTTTTATTTTTAATTGTTAAATTTCAATACTATACTATTTGTAGAGGCATTATTTGTTCTATTGTTATTTATAGAATGTTACTCCACGAGTCACATGGACGAGACCAATATATGTTTATATTTTATTTGTAATATAACGAGATTATTACAAAAATCCAAAAAAATTTATAAAAATGTTTTCGTTTCACATCGAAAATAATTTTTAAGGTCAATTATGATGAGACTTTCTCTATTTTACTAGAGAAAGGATTTTTAAATAGTAGTGAATTAGTAATAGAGGATTTTTACAAATCCAAAAAAATTATAGAAATGTTTTTTTTCACATCAAAATTTATTTATAATGTCAATTATGATAAAAGAAAACTATTTTGCTAATGAAAGTATTTTCAAATGATAATGAATTAGAACAACAAGATTTAATTTTGCTTAATTGAATTAATTGACTGACCATATAGCTCTTTCGAATATAGCCAAATATTTTTTACCAGTGCTCTTTCGAAATATACTTTGGTTTTTTAAATTATTTTTATTTTTTATTCGAAAAAATTATAATAAAAATCAGTGAAAACAATAAATATAATATAAGGCATGTTATTAATATTTTGGTTAAAAATAAAAACTTCTTAATTTCATATAAAACACGTTCTTTTAATAAAAAAGTGTAAAAAATTCAATAATATATTAAACATTTAGTGGTTTTAGTTAAAAAAAATTCGCATTGTTAATATTATTTCCTCAAAATAAATTAACAACGAAGTACGGATATAGATTATTTCATAAAATGAAATAATATTTTATTATTTTATAATTAAATTATAATTAAATGTATTTGTGCGCACACGATAAACAAAATAAACATGATGACTGCCTGCAATATGTATCAAAAAAATATGCTATTGTGATAAAAATTTAAAAATAATAAATATATACAAACTTAATCTTAAAATAATTAATAATATGATATATAATGTATTTATAATAATAATGGTTGTGATAAATAAATAAATATATTGAAATTAATTATCTATCATTAATTATCTATTATCTATCAACGCATATACCTAATTTAAGTAATTTAAGTAATATAATTTTTAATTATATTACATTATTATAAATTATATATTTATAATTTTCATACTCAATATATATATTTATATATTGCACTACAATATTTAAAAATACTTTAAAAGCTTATAAATAAAATATGAAACTTGATAAAGCTTACTATTAATAACATAAACAATATATATGCAGCTTTTAATTACACGTTTTTATTGTTAACGTTTTTATTAAAACTATGTACACACAAAAAAAAACAAATTTGCAAGAACAACGATGTTGTTTTATGTATTATAGAAATATGCAGACACAATATTAATCGCACAATTAATATAAGAAACTTTTTATAAATAATACATATATATTTATGAGCATATCAGATGACTAAATAAGTCTTCTGCTATATAAAAACTGAATTGTCTTATATCTATTTGTAAAATAATAGGCAAGAGTAATTTCATTAAATACGTTATTCAATATTTTTTTAATATATTCGAATACAATAAATATAGTATTGATATAATTAATATATTTATTAAAATTTAATGTTTTTTATATTATATGTAAGTCTTACATTTTAAGAATCGTGCGGTTTCCTCAACCCAATATTTATAGTTGTCAGGCTTTGAAGATTCATACCAAATCAAGGTACTTTCAACGTTTGCCTCTGGTGGCATTGGTCGGAATCCAAGACCTGAAATAAGAAATATATTACATATATATTTATAAATTATTATGAACATAAGAATTTATTGAGACGTAATTTCAAAAATGGTTTGTGTAAAAGGCATTCGGTCATATCACCCTCATATCTTATGAACTATACACATTTTTTATCTACTTGGTAAGATGTATTTCTTTGTAATTATTTAACCATACTAGTCTACTAGCTGTATGAGAGTAGTGCTCAAAACAAATTATATTACTCGAAAGCTTTGTGGATATCAGTAATATCTCCATGAAACTATATATGCAAATACGGTATTCTTAAGAAACTCGAGTCAAGTTAATTTATTTACTTTCTGCATCTTTTTCTACAAGTATGGATAAGCACTATTTGGTCCAAAGAAGTGCTTGAAGTAATGAAGTAATTCAATAACAGTTTTATTATTGCTAAAAGCGTTTTGAATTCAAACATTCTTGTTCTTCTTCATAATTAGATTGGATGGAATTTTGAATAATTCCATGCTTTGAATAGTATAGTTAGGAACCAACAGTATTATTTATATATAACTATTGATGATATATATACATCGCTGAGTTATTTCTAATACCTTTCTATTATGAGAAATCTATTGTAGTTTATTTGCATAAAAAAGTGTTTCAAAATTCAAATAAAGTTTTTATTTTTTTTAAATATGAAACATTAATTTTATTATAATTTGTTATCATTAAGTAAAGTTTAGTTTTAAGTTAGTATTCTTGGTTTTTTGTTAGGTATAGCGTCTATCATTTGCTTCTCTGCTGTGGACTTTAAAATTGATTACATAAGAACATCAACTCTTACGGTACTAATTAATTTAACTTTAATGATAAACTGATTAGATAGCCTTTACTATATACAATATAATCAGAGCTAATTGTGTTTTAGCTCCGTTTTAGTCATTATTGATTAAAAAATGTTTCGGATAGCCAAAGATTATAAATATTTTTCGTTTTCAAAATTTAATTGATTATAATATCGTCAATTAATTTATATGTTAATTACATATCTTAAAAATAAAGTAAGAACCACAGTCAATAAATTTATTAAATTATATTTTTGAAATATATCTGAAATACTGATTGGTAGTAGATAATCGATTATTTTTCATAGAAAGATAGAATAAATAAAATATTATTTTAACTATTATATTAAAGACATTGTTACTGGAACCTATTTTACTTTACCTTCAATATTGATTTAGGATACATCTTTTATTGAAGAGTATTCATCTTCATTAAGTAAAATGAAGAAACAAAGTACTGTCTGTCAACAAACAAATCTCCTGAGCGTCTTGGGACCTACGTCACTGTTGACAATTATAAATTCGAAGTTGTGAAAGACTTTGTTTATTTAGAAACCAGCTTAAACACCAAAAATAACGTCAGCCTAGAGATTCAACGAAGAATTACTCTTGCCAACAAATGTTACTTCGGGCTAAGTAAGCAATTGAGAAATAAAGCCCTCTCTCCGACAAACAAAAATCACGCTCTATAAATCCCTTATCATGCCTGGTCTGCTGTATGGTGCAGAAGCTTGGACAATTACCAACAGTGATGAGAAGGCGTTAGGAGCATTCGAGAGAAAAATTCTTCGGAAGATCTATGGTCCCTTACGCGTTGGCGACGAGTATCGAATTAGATGGAACGATGAGCTGCATGAGCTATACCGCAACATTGACATAGTTAAGCGCATAAAAATTCAGCGGCTACGCTGGCTTGGTGATGTCGTGCGAATGGAAGAAAGTGCTCCGACTAGAAAGGTATTTGATTCGGTACCCGCAGGTGGAAAACGCGGTAGAGGACGTCCGCATCTTCGGTGGAAGGACCAGGTGACCAACGATTTGGGGGCGCTCGGTACTACCAACTGTCGTCAGAAAGCAACTAATCGGGCTGACTTGCGGAGGCAACTCGACGCGGCCAAGGACGACACACGTCTGTAATGGCCAACTAAGTAAGTAAGTAAGTAGTAGTATTCATCTTCATTCTCTTTAAAAAATTCTTTTAATGTACATCCTTATTTGGCTTCCAATAGGAAATTCCACAAAATAAAATACAAATTATTTTATTCATAAAAGTACTTTGCATTTATAAATGTGTAAGATATGATCGAATGGGCTTGTCTCTAACGGCAGCAGGTCTACCTTTTATTCCTATTTCTACTACAGATTGTCCATTATACCCATTGATTTGCGTATTTTATGGCAATTAAAATTATTATTTGCATATGCGGGAATATAGTTTATGTAAAAGGTGTGTAGGTCGTGTGAGGCTTGCATGTTATAAAACATTAAAATATTAATTTTAAAAGAGATTGACTTAGTAAATTAAATTTATAACAAACTTTACCATTTGAAAATAAAAACACACAAAAGAGTTGTGAAGAAACTTATGTGTAATATAAATAAAAAAATTAATAAAAGTGGATATAATAGTGTGATTTGATATTATCAAAACCAATTAAATATTCAAAGTATATAATATAATAATATATAAATATTGTGAAAATACTGCAAACTATTGTAGAGATTTATTCAATAAAAATACAAATTAACAACAAAAACAAGACTAAGAAATAAATCTATTTTATTTTACTATTGGAAGTCAATACTTAAGTGTAGTTAAACATTAATCTTATATATTTATGAAATATGATTATGACCCAAACCAAACCCAAAATCTACTAAACTGCAGGACTCATATCTGATTCTTACATAAATATACTCATAAAATTCTACCACATGAATTCTTCAACTATTCTATAGTTTTCTAATACAACTTCTTGACTAATTTTTTGTGGTGTTCTCACTGAAGTCCTGGCAATCATGGTTTTATGTTTCATTTTTGGTCTACGCTGCGTATGAGTACTCGTTGTTAGGCTCCTTTTACGACTTTCAAAATGCTATTACCGTCGCTGTTGCTGTTGTTTTGACTGTCATTGACCCAAACAAAATCTATATAAGAACATTTAAGGTGTGTAGCAAATTTTATTAATTAACAAAAAATGAGCTCAATTTTATTAAGGTTTAGTGTAAGTACATAAACAAGTCCATAATAGAGAATATTGGAAGACAAACATGTCATAAACTTAATTTTGATTTATGGGTGTGCGTTGTTATATTATAATTACAACAAAAACTAACCTATAAATATTGTATTAAATTCGATTTTACTTGGATTTATGAAATCAGTACTTTATTTTGCATTCTTAGTAAATCAGCAAAAGCATGAGTATTGTTTTGTATAAACTTTTGCCACTTTTGGAGCTTTTAATTAACTCTAATGAACCGTGATCAATTATTTTTATGTATTATCCTTAGCTTACCTGGATTTGAACCTATCATCCCATTATCAAGGGTCCATTTTGGTTTATCGACTTCTAATGTTTGATAAAATACAGCTAACATGGCAGCAAAGAATCCAGTTAACACCGCATAAAATATTATATAGAAAAATAAAATTTTTGCTGCAAAGATAAAAAAATTTTTTAAATTAATTATAATTTATTTAAAGACATATTCAAATATATATATAAGACAGAAAATTATAACTATACATACATAAATTAAATTTTTTTATTATTATACTTAATTTCATTTGTGTGCGAAACAGTATAGAATATACTCGTAACTGGACGATTGTTTTTAAGGCCAAGGTTTAATGAAAACTATAGTTTAAAATGATTTAAAATACTGTCACTCCCAACAGAGCAGATCTCTGACACTATGGTAGTTCTTTTGTGCTAGTAACTAAACATAACCAAATGAATGAAGCTCAGCACTGTTCCCGTTGGGATTTCCTAACATCAGAAGGTTATAAAAGATGTTGATAACACTAGAGTTTTTATTGAAATTTTTAAAGTCCATAAAGTATTTTTTTTATGACACTAACTGAACAAAATCGATAATAATCGATAATAATTGACATTTTATTGCTTTCACATTTTAGAAAAGCAGCGATTTTAAAATAACTCTTTTAATGTAAACCTTTTACTATAAACCAACTTTAGTGGGCTTGGTATTCCTTTGACCTTTCATGTTAATGTCACATCAATTTAGCTGTTTTTTATGTATTGCGGATATAAATATTCATATAACTTTATTTCAGGCTGACATCATGCCACATTTTAATTAAAACATCATCAACTGCGTATTGATGTCAAAGGTAATTAAGGTGATATATGCCATAATTTAACTTGAAGCTGAACTTTAACACATAAGTTTAGTGGCTTGCGACATATAAATGAATCACATGGTGCTTGTTATAACTACACAAATATAAATATAAAGATAAATATGTATATAAATAAATTTAATGACAAAAAACATAAATATCAATAAGGCAATAAATGCGATATATATTACATTACATGAGGCTATAGTAAATTTGGCAATATAGTAAAATAAAAGAAATAAAATAAAATAAAAGAAATTAAAATAAAACAAAATAAAAAAGTAATACAAGGAAATAAAATCAAATAAAATTAAATAAAATAAAATAAAATTTAAGAAATTATAATAAAATAAAATAAAACAAAATAAAATAATATATAAGATAATATATAAGAAAATATAATAAAATAAACTAAAATAAAATAAAGTAAAATATAATAAAATAAAATATAAGAAAATATAATAAAATAAAATAAAATAAAATAAAATATAATAAAAAAAAATAAAATAAAATAATTTCAAAAAAAAAATAAAACAAAATAGAACAAACGAAATTGAAGTAAAGTAAAATAAAAAAGTAATATAAAAGAAAAAAATAAAATACAATAGAATATAAGAAAATATAATAAAATAAATTAAAATAAAATAAAATATAATGATATAAAACATAATGAAATAAGAACTTATTTCAAAAATAGGTAAAAATTTAATGCTAAATAATAAAATATTATGTTTAATTAATATGTGATATATTTATTATTAGCTAGTTAAAAAATCTGATGCTAAACTATTTGCTTTTCCATTGCTTCATTGTTTCAAAGATCATGAGCCCATTAAAATTGATGTCCGGAATATAATTTAGCCCACCGATTTCATCTCTACACTTATCGACGAGCTCTGATTTTATAATGTATGATTGAAGAGCTTTAATTGCCGTCTCGTCAAAATGAGAAAAGCAACATAACACCTTTCCTTAATGTGGCTTATAAACAACCGGCATGCTCCACTAATCGTTTAGACGTTTACCTCACACATAGTACGTTGTAAAAGTAACCGATACATTTACACCATAGTCCACTAAACCACAGCTAGGTGCAAACCGATTCAATTGAAGTAGATTTTAAATAATAAATATAGTCTAATATCTTATGTCTTATTGGAATTGTGTCAAGAACCCGGCTATATGTATTGGTATGAGTGCTCTGCACAATAACCCATTACTTTGAGTTCGGGAGCACTTTTGCAAACAATATTATTAGTATGGCGATTAATGGATGAAGAAAGTATCATTAAATTTAAAACATCCATAAAGCATGTGCTAAATTTTTTTCTCATGCTAACAGTATTTTCCGAATTCTGCATAGTTAGGGAGTATTACAACTCTTATCCAGAACTGCACACCAACTGCAGGGTCTAACATGCTAAGTATTTGACTTTTTTTAAAATTTTAACACTAAATAGGAGGTGCATCTTAGTTTAGCCGGCACGTAGTACACAGCGCATTGGCCGATTGCAAATGGAAATATGGATTTACTATTAAATTTCGATTCTTCGTTTATCAGGTATAAAAATTGTTATATTTCTTTTATGTGGTTATGACTAGTTTAGAAATAATTTGGATCTATTGTGTAAACAATACACAATAGTCTTTATCACAGATTGTGATGACTATACGATGATTATTTTGAAGTGGTAATATTTTTCTAATTAATTTTCATCAAAAATTCCTTTAAGTCCAGCAAAAAGTATATATTTGACAAGTTATGTGAATCAAAAATTTTAATATGTGAAGTATTAAATTGTTGATAGTTAAAATACTTGGCAACATGTCACCATTGTATGCGAGTCAAATCACGTATAGCACTGTATGGCTTATATTGTTATTTTAGTTGAACGTGAAGTGGAAATGTTCCCCTTTAAGTCAAAAATATTTATTCATACTAATTTATTTTTACATATTTATTTTTATACATAAAAATTATGTATAAAAGTATAAATTTATATGGTCAGCCAAATTTCAATAAATTAAATAAATTTTTGTTCTTGTCATTTCTTTGCTATTCGAATACGTCTTACTTTTAAAGAGTTTCTTTAAGTCATAAAGACGCGTCACTCTAGTTAAGAAAAAATTAACATTATAAATTTATTAATATATATTGTATTATTCAAGCTATAATCGGAATATTTTAACACAAAATAGATGTCTGCATTTTCATAAGACTGAAATGAATAAATAAAAACTTTTTTATACATTTTTCTACATTTGATAGAGCTTCATTTTACTTTTTGTGGTTAAATTTAAAATAAATAAATGGAGTCTGTTTTATGTGAGAACTCAAATTAAAACAATATACAAATATCCAGTATGCTTGACATTATATGTGTCAAACACACACCTTTTGAGAATAATTGGTTTTAGGGTACTAGACAAAGTGCGTCCAATTATAAAAATTTAAGAAGCATGGTTTCAAGTTATATCAATATTTGTGTTTTTTACTAACTTCCTTTGGTGTCTTGAACCTAAAGGATAATAATATAAATAAAGTGCAAGCTATTCTAATTAGTGCAGCAAATATTAACTGAATCGGTTTAATCAAAAATCATTGTACATATAACACAATATGTTTTTAAAATTTTCTTAGTTAATATCTCATGAGATAGAAACACATACACTCTCTAACAAACCCACTATGAAGTACTTCTGCTTTTATCTGAAAAGTGTTGCGATAGTGCAACGCAGACCACAATATGCACTTGCATGTATTCATGCAATGTATTTCAAGCAGTGGCTGTTAAAAACCCTCATACGTGCAATTTACTAACCTTTGACATTCATGTTACTGTTGCTGCACTTGTTTTTACTGTTCAGAAATAGAACACAGTTAACACTGAAAATGTACTTCATAAAAAACATCTCTTCCGGAAATTAAAAAAAAACGGCCAAAAGCTAACAGTCAATTCTAGTTAATTTCTATATAAAATTTTTTTAAATTTTAAGATTTTATTTTATTTGAAAAAAAAATGTTAAATTCAAATTTTATCAATAGTATGTCAAAAATTATGTCAAAAAAGTAAAAAAACATCAATATTATCATATATAGAAATTAACTACAATAAATGCAGTTCACATGCAATTTGTAGAAAAAAAACTCCTTAGCTCCACGCGCACACGCAGTCAGTGGTCGACTTAATTTATAAATATGTATTATAATAACCATAAATCAAAGGAACAGCGCTTAAAAAGCCGGAAAAGGGGAAAAAAAGAAAAGCATGAAAAGCATGTGAAAATTGGCCGTGAAATTAGCGTGAGGCTTAAACATTATTGCTTTTAAGACTTCTATTATTAAAATAAATAAAACTTTTTCTAAAACTCAAGAAAAAATAAAATCATAAGTCTATACGAATATATTAAGAAAAAGTTCAGTATAATTCATCAAAAAGAAATTAAGTATTCTATACGAATACATAAAAGTTTTAATATAATGCAACTGTGTGCTATATAAAGGCACTAATTTTTGTATATACGAAATTAATATAAATGTCATGATTGTTTGGTGTTATAAAGATATAGTTAAAATCTAGTTTAATATGTGAATTTCTAAATAGATTGGTAATATGTGACTAATTTAATATTTCATAATATGCCTTTAACATACTGTTAATATACCTTAGCCTTAAAATATTGGAGAAAAACTTTTGCTTTGTAAAAATCAAGTATTTGTCGGTAATAATAAGTTAAAGTGTGTAAAAAATAAACTTTAACTTCAGTCTGGAGGAAATTAAAAAATTGAAAGCTTTTGGAATAAGTACGTCCAGAAATCGGAGCTTGATTTTACCATACATTGAATGTTCTGAAATTAGAACCTTTAGTGCTTCGGATGTACGCTGTTAGTTAACCAAATATAACTAGAAATAAGTAATCACGTTATTTGTTCTTCTGCCTAAATTGAAAACAATAACATAATGGAATAATAAAATAGTGAAATAGTGGAAAAGGATTTTGTTATTTCATGACCAAAATCTCGGAGCTACGTGATGATATCGCACATAATGTCAACATGCATTAGATATTATATCTAATATTTGATTTTTTTCTTTTGATAATGTTAGCTACAAAATTAAATGCATATATGTATATACCTATTTCTGAAAAAAATAATTTAATTATTACTTTTTGATTTTTAATGCACAATCCACTTAGAATGTATCTTTTATTTATTTATAAGCAAATTATTTTTTTTGTACTTGAATGTAAATTCCTTCTAAGCTTGACACTGATGCTTAATTTTACTTT